TTTTATACTCACTTTGAGATGGTTAACAGTTTTGCTTGGCTCCACAATCAATACTCTTGATAACAGCAGCCAGGAAATCAAGAGATGAATTGCATTGGGAAAGTTGGCTGTGAGGGACCTCTCAAGAGTACTGAAGAGCAACGACATCAGGCTGGAGACGAAGGTGCGCATGATCCGGGTAATTACGTGCTATGCATTAGAAAGTTGAACAGTGAATAGGGATGACAGAAAGAGAATTGATGACTTTGAGCTGTGGTGCTAGAGAAGAGTGTTGAATATACCATGGACTGCTAGGAGAACAAACAGGTTTGTCCTGGAAAAGGTGAAGCCAGAATGCTCCTTGGAGTCAAGGATTCTGAAGCTTCGTCTGACATACTTTGGGCATGTTGCAAGGAGGGACTGGTCCTTGGAGAGGCACACCATGTTTGGCAGAGTGGAGGGTTGCCGAAGGAGAGGAAGACCTTCGATGAGATGGATCTGTTCTGTGAATGGAGAGGTGGAAATAAGTGCATTTGAGATGGCTAGGTTGGCACAGGATAGAACAGCGTTTAGAGCTCTTGTATATAGGGTCACTGTGAGACACAAATGACTCGATGGCACATAACAACAACTCACTTAAAAAGTTCATATAAATTGTTTTTCACACTAGATCTTTCCGCTTTCCTTTCCCCACCCCACCCCCTTGGATCATTGTACTTGTTCTACAATAATGTTCATATATAATATTTGTCTTTATGGGACTTAGTTCACTCAGCATAATGCTCTCCAATCCCTCCCATGTTAGGTAGTAATTTACAAAATTGCTCCTGCCTGCTGCGTAGTATTCCAGCATGTGAATGTACCATACTTTATCAATCCATTTGATTATGGCTGGGCATTAGGGCTGTTTCCATCTTCTTGCAATAGTGAATAACACTGCTGTGAACATTCCTCTGCTTGGAATGTACTCTGAGAAAATGAGAACTGAGGCAGAGAGACTTGTGCTCCTTGACTTCCTGATTTCTTCCATTTGCTTTGGCTTTTTGGCACTCTAAGTGCAATAGAATTAGATTATTTAAACCAGCCTGAGGCCCTCCATACATTTAGAATTCCTGGGGTGCAATTTCAAGCTAGGGTAGTTCCTCCTGAACCATAGCCTTTAAAAAAATTGAGAAAATTCTATATGGAGTGGTCTCAGGACCTCATGTCAGTGTTCTGTCCCTCAGTGAAAGCACTTGTGTTTAAGAACCACAAAATTTGGTGATTTGATTTACATTCTCATTTCATTTTACTAATTCATGCCATTCATTTCACGTCAATGTATTTTTTTAATATTGAACAAGGTAGACTCTGCTATACATTGTCTCTTAGCTCAAGTATCAACATTTTTCTTTGTTATAATCCTTGACAAAAGTATAGACAGTATCCTTGCCTACATTCACATCACTTCATTTCACTAATGGCTGTCAAGCTGGTTTTGACTCAAAGCAACTCTCCAGGAAGGATTTCAGGTTGTAAATCGAAGGAGACTGCCCATCTTTATCCTGAAGAGCTAGTGCATCCGAACTGCCGACCTTTGTGTTAGCAGCACAACATGTGTCACGCCACCCGAGCTCCTTCTGCCTGTATTACTAAATGCTTACTTAACTGACTTCTCAGCATTTCTCTTGTAAATCCTGAAATATTTGTCAGTCATTGTTTTCTGTAAAATATTGAGACTATTCAATGAATATTTAGCAGAAACAAATGCTCACAGATTTCTAGAGTTTTTCTGTATTCATTTCCCCCCTGAAAACATGATATATTTTTCTGGTATATTTTACAATGTTTGGAGCACTCAGTTTGGGGAGGGGGAGCGGGATTAATTCCTGGCCTGGTGTTGCAGTGTAAACAGCTCTTTGCCTGTCTTTTGTCATTAATGATCATGCTGTAGATGCAGCCAGTGCATTGTAAGCCAATCTGTCAAGGCAAATAAACAATTCACCTTGTTAAAATTCCCTAAATCTTGCATTAATAAAACCAAAGTAACCCCCTGAACACTCAAGAGATGTCTTCCTCCATACTGCAGTGATGGATGACATGTCTAAAGATCCTGGAAATTAAGTAGTTCAGGTCATTAAAAGTGTCCCACACTTGTTATTGATTTAATTTCTTTTAAAAGGTGGGGGTGGAGATAAGCATGTATCCCCCCCCTCATTTTCTTCCTTTTCTTTTTTTTTCCGTCTGAAAGCTACCACTTGTACACAAGTTTAAACTATTGCCCGAGCCAACAGCTCTGTTCTTGTACATTAAGCTTTGTTGTTTATATAGATATTATGTCATCATCTTAAACAAACATCCAAAATAATTCTATAGCCATTGCAACTTATGTCATTTGAAAACATCCTTGCAGTTGCGTGTACATCTGGAGCTATCGAACCCTTCAGTGTACAGGGCATGATAGTACAGTGGTTAATCATTTAGCTGCCAGCTGAAAGGTTGGTGGTTTGAATCCACTAGCTTCTCTGTAGGAGGAAGATGTGATAATTGGCTTCCTTAAAGATTAAAGCCTTAGAAATGTGAGACAGTTCTCCTCTGCCCAGCAGGGTCACTGTGGACTCAACAGCAGTGGATTTAGGACAACAAAAAAATTTCTCAGGTTGGAAAATTTTTAGATAAAGGTCAAATGACTTGAAAGAAATAAGTTGAAATAGTAGTGAAATTATGCCTCTCAGTAAAATGTATTTTTTTCCTTAAAATTTTCTCCTCTTTCCCTTGCTTTCCCTCAATGTTTAATTAGAAAAAAATGTAAAAATTTTGAGTATGAATGTGTATATGCCTATATGCATATGTATATGTATTTATATGCATGCGTCCACACTAGGATAGATAGATGGATGAAAAATTAAGGGTAGAGAAATCATTTTGAGAGTGGATTTAGAATCATTTCATTCTCCAGCATGGCAGTTTGAGATAAATTTGTTAGGTTATGCACCATTGAACCTGTGTTTACCATCATATCCCAGTATCCAGCACAGTGACCCAAACCAATTCATACCCACTATCGTCAAAGCCAAGCACCTCTCATAGCAGACTTCTGCTGGGTTTCCAAGGCTGCCAGTCTTCTGCTGGAGGAGATTGCTCATCTCTCTGCCATGGAGTGGATGGTAGATTTGAACTAACATCCTTTTCGGTATTAGCATAGCTTGGAACCAACCATGCCACCAGAGTTCCTTGCTGATCATAAACAGAACCCAGTATATACTGGCTGAATGAGCAAAGTATAGCCCCAGACATTTCTCTCTGTTATTCCTTAAGCTTCAGTAGATACAATAGGTGGAGTAAGGAAGGCGTAGTGTCAGTTCCAGACAAGACTCACCAGGTGACCTCTCTACTGCGGGAGGAACAAGAGTGTAGAGCCTTAGGGGAGTGCAGAGGTCAGCCTCTGTACTCCTTCAATGTCACACATGAATAGGTAGCATTATTCCAGTGACCTACAGGAAGTGAGGCAACTCAGGTAAGTTAATTTTAGCTAAAAATGAGATATTATGTGTCTATATATGATGTTGTGTTGTTGTTTAATGCCGTCGAGTTGTAGACAACTCATAGCGACCCTATGAATGAACAGCCTGAGCACTGTTCGTACATAGAGTTTCCGGAGGCAAGCCATTTTGGAAGTGGATGCCGCTCCTGCTTCCAGGTTTGATTTAGTCAGGAAGCGCCAGCCAACACTGTCCACCATGGGTGCCCATTACCACGATTGGCACATCACTGTCACAGTCTTCAGCATCACAGCAACCACGAGTTACCTCTGTACAGCAACGCACAGATCAGTGCTATACCACCTAGAAAAATGTTTGACAGGAAGACAGTTTGAACCTGGCCAAGGGCCACAGATGAAAATCACCCACCTTCGGCTTGGTAGCATAACATCCTTTCCACTAGACCAACATAGCTCTCTCTTGGTCGTTGTCATTGTTATTGTTGTGCTCAGGCTGTTCGTTCATAGGGTTGCTATGACTCGACGGCATTAAACAACAACGACAACTATATATGATACACATGATTTTATTTTGCTTTTGTCACAAGTGTCATGTTGTAAGTTGTGTGAGTGAAATTTCACCAACTTGGGTATTATCATAAAAAATAACTTTTTAAGCTATATGAGTTTAAGATGCTATTATACAGTTTTGATGCTTTTCTTCCATGGTCTTCTTTGAAAGGGAGGAGGACAGTTGATAAGTGTGCAATCATTTAAGACATGCTGGCAAGTGCTTTTAAAAATAGGTATATGGAAGTGCACCCCATAGTAAACTATCAGATTTCTATATGAAATTGTTCATATGAACACTTGATTACTGACATATGTTGTTATATCAGCTATTTAGCAAAACTTCCTAAGTAGAAGAATGCTATAGATTATAATATATGTGTGTGTTTCTAGTATCCCTTAACAAGGGCGTTCTGAGGCCAAGTGGTAAGGAATTGCCAACTCAGAGGAAGTGAGTGCAAGCCATCAAGTGCCCCATGGAAGAAAGATGGGCAGTCTTCCCTCATGTGATTTACAGGCTCTGAACACCCGCTGGATGGTCAGCTGCGAGTCGGTTCTCACTTGAAGGCACATAACAATAATATCCCTGAACAGCAGTGGTCATTTCTGTCTCTGTGTATGTATCAGGCAATTTGAGCACCAAGTAAGAAAAACTTCATTATTGGCAGTGTTATATACTCTCAGGACTTGCAGCAGTCACTGGATTAGAATTCCCTTGATGGCAGAGACTATCTCACTGGTTCTCCGCTGTCTGGACTTGAGTAGGTGCTCTGCAAATGCTAGGTTGGATGGAGGAGTAAATAAAATGTTGCGTTTCCTGACCCTGCGTAGCCTGTGTGTTGGCTTAAGTTCTTGATGGGCACAATGGGGACCACTCCTGTCAATCATCAGAAGCAGGACTTGTGAAAAGTTGATGGATGGTTATGACTTTTTGAAATAGTTCTTTTGATTGATTGCCTAGTGAACTTCATTTTGGTTTCTGTTTTCACAGGCTGTCATTTTAGAAAATGAAGAACTTCCCAAACTGTTTCTTGACTTCCTAAACGTGCGACACTTGCCCTCGCTACCGAAGGCGGAGAGCTGTGGGTAAGCATTATTGCTACATTTTGGACATGTATTTTAATAACTTATCAGTAATGTCTTGGGTTCTAACAAGTCTAGCCAGGGATGCCTGAAGGGCCCATTCTGGCCACACCCACGCTCTGGACTTGGAACAGCACTCGACCGCCCCCTGCTTGTGGCCAAAGGAATAAGGCCCCTCACAAGATACAGTAACTCCTGTTTAGACGGAGGGGCGTGACCTTTTAAATGATGCTGTTATGCAGAGTGAGGTTATGTAGAGGGAATTATGAGTCCCTCATAGCGTGCTTAGAGGCTGATCTGTTTAATGTGGATGCTCAAGCCGAGTTCATATCCCCTTGGCACGTGCACTCGTGCCTGTAAAGCTGTACATGACTGTAGAGGTGGTTTGATTCAACTCTTGTTTAGTAGTTGAGCAAATAGAGATCCAGGAGTCAAGTGCCTTTCCCAGAGATCTCAGCTCATGGTCTCCCATCTTTCTCCTCAGTATTGCCACCTGTCTCTCAGGAATCTCCCAAGAAAGAGCTGGCTGTCCTCATCCCAGTCTTCTAAGAAGTCAGATATTTGATTGCTTTCAGCAATTGACTAAAGCCTTCTGAAGAATTAATGCTGAAACCCCAAAATGCTGTGGGTACAGAGCTTAGTGCTGGCTTCAGAAGGCAGTCAGCAACATCCCTGACATAGTAAATCTATTTACTAAAAAAATGAGTCATCACAAACTGCAAATCCTACCAGATGACTAGACTCTATCCAGTTTTATTTTGCTGCCTCCAGACATGTCTGAAGGAACCATACTAATTGCAAAATGTTTAAGATAAAGCAGACCACACTAAAAGTTGTGTCAAATCCCAGCTCTGGGCCATTTGAGAGGCTTTGGCCGCATCAGAGCTCCACATGGGCAGCGTTCAAGCAGGGCTACTCACCTCAAAGAATAATAGTCTGTGTTCTCGCCAAATGATATGCATTGTCACTGTGTTACCAACACATTATCCCAAGATCAAGGCACTTACTGGAGATGGATTGTTCATGTGTGGCTTTGTATTTCTAAGAAGAGACACAAAGAATGGTAATAAATGAATCTTTACCCCATTGTGTGATCCCAAATGTGGCCTCCACTTCCTACAGAACCGTGCCTGTGGAAATTACGAATTTTGAGAAACAATAGTTATAGAAAGGCTTCAAGTCTTTTGTTTATAGATTCACTATGAGTTGTGCTCAACTTGACAGCAATCAACAACAACAACATAGTATTTTAAGTGATCTTTAGGGCAATTTAAATTCCTGTTTCACAAGTCCCTAGCACAAGGCATGTGCTGGGGGCTCTGTGAAAAGTACTCTTTTCAAAATGTCTCCAAATTCAGTGCTCTAAGAATACTGGCTGTTTGCTTCTGGTAGTTTAGATGTTGACCCATTATATACTATTTTTCTTTCTCTCTTTTAAAAATTTTAGATCTTTCGATGAAACAGAATCTGAAGAGTCAAGGTAAGCATAAATACTAGTAAAATAGGAGTTACACAGACCAAAAATAGAATTGTGTCTTTGTTAAGTGTTTACTTAACCATGGCATAAATTTTTTTCTTCTTCAAAGTCTTTGTTGGAAAATGTGTTTTAAGATTATAAATATTTGATAGGCAGTTACAGGAATAACTGATTACCGTATTTTAATAATTTGCACATTATACATTTTTGCTACCTAAACATCTGCCTCACACATTAGTTTTGTGTTTGTTAAACTGTTATTTGTATGTGTGTGTTATATGTGGAAAACATTGTACACTTAGGCACAAAGGAATAAGGGCCCTAAGTTGTATCATACAAGTAATATGAACAACTGCTTTATCAATAATCATACTATAAGATTAAAAAAAAACCCAACCAGCTTTCAACAGTGATTTATTGTGCAGATTGTACATCTGCTTCAGATTCCACAACAAAATGTTTCGAAGATGAGCATAGTGTTAGTTTGTTCCCGCTAACTGTTGGCTATTATTCACCCACAGTGTTAGATACATAAACCTTGAGACATCCCCGCACAGCAGTTTGATCCCCTCAAAGCTAGTTTGTAGTGTTTTCTGTTTACCGTCGTCCCCTGATGCTGACATGCCTGTTCTTGACCTTTCCAGCAAACTGTCCCACCAGCCAGTGCTGCTGTTCCTCAGGGATCCATACGTCTTGCCTGCAGCCAGCGGTAATCAAACCTGTCATCTGCTAACAGCTCTTTACTGATTTGACCCTGTACCACATAAACCACGTTTTTAATACAGGTCTAACAGAGTGACATTGGTCCAGGGCTTAATAATCTGCCAATAAACCAGTGCTTTTGGTGTAAGAGACATTTAGAATTTTAATTGGGGCAGCCCTTTCAGGAGGAAATGTAATTTTTCTTTCTGCCAGACTATTTAGAATTATAGTAATAAGGCAAAAGGTATTTATTGTCTTTAAATCTTAGAATCTACTATTTTGGCCTCTGCCTGTCTTTATCCAGGTACCAATATTTATATGCAAAGCCCTAATTCTTTTTAAAAATCATATCTTCCCAGAAATGGAGACATGCATGTGTATCTTCATTTCCATTTAGATTACAACAATTTTGATGGTCATTAAGTATCTTAAAAGTTATGTATTCAATTATCATTCATTCATTCATTTAAAAATTGAATCAATATTTTAGCCTCAGGCTTTTGGTTGTACTAAGAAATTCAAATTCTTCAGCATCACGGTTAAAGGGCTCTGTTATACTACTCTTTATGAATATGTTCTTAGATATTATTGACTTTATCTTGTTTCATTTTCTTAACAGCCTTATGAAGCAGGCAGATGGTTTCATTGGCCACATGAGAAAATTGAGAGGCTGTGTGGTCTCTGACTTGCCTAGTCCCTGGTGATTGGCAGACCCCTCGCTGCCCGAATTTTCCATATGCGTTTTTGGTATATAATGAACTTTAGCATCTGAGAAAACTATACAGCAAAAAAAATTTATAGCAGCTACACAGCAAATAATTTGGAGTAGCTCAATAGCAATAGGTAAATTATCTAATGAAACCATCCTCAGTTTCTGACAATAAAACCTTATTGTCATCATGAGAGAAGTGACTCTTCTCTGTAGCAAGGATGCACGCGCTCAGATCACCTGCTTAGCTGTCCCTTTAAAGAACAATGCCTGGATACAACCCTGTTAGAGACTACTCTTCAATTCTCTCTTATGTCAAGGAGCCACCTGATTAGTGTTACCTTTGGTGTAGAAGAACAGTTTTCCCCCCTGTAAAGAAAAATTGCTTCCTTCTCCAACATTTGCTCCTCATTTTTAGACTATATACAGATGTTTAAATGAGTTGCTAGTTAATAAAATAAAATATTCAAAATGCAGCTTAGTCTAAGTAAGCTGTTATGTGCTATGAAGTCACCTGCAATTTTTAAGAACTCTATGCATAGTAGCTCTGAACTCTATCCTGTCCTGAGCCACTGTCTCCGATATACTTACCCCCATTACCCCAGATCCTGTGTCAAACCATCTCATCAAGGTCTTCCTCTCCTGCACTGTCCTTCGACCCTTCCAAGCATGATACCCTTCTCCAAGGACTGGTTCTTTCTGGAAGCATTCTCAAAGTATATCAGGTGTCACTTCAAAATCCTTGCCTCCAAGGAACAACTTAGTGTCACCCTCTCCCTAACAAACCTGTTTGTTCTCTTGGCATTTCATGGTATGTTGAATACTCTTCTCCAGCACCACAACTCAAAGGTATCGATTTTTCTTCTGTTATCATTAGTTATTGTCTAGCTCTCTGAAACATAACAAGTAATTGTGAAGACCATGGCCTGGATAAGGCATACCTTAGACTCTAGGCTGGCATCATTGCTTTTTTAACAACTCTGGAGAGGTCCTTGACAGGGCGATTTTCCCATGCAGTTCTTGTTTTGATTTCCTGTCTGCTGGTGCCAAGAGTGCTGATTGTGGAACCAAGCAAGATGAAACTGTCAACAATTCAGGCTCTTCTCCATTTATCATGATGCTGCCTTTTAATAAACATAGGTTTATTAAAGTATGCTTCTTTATCTTTTAGAAATTATTCCACAGATAATCTCTCTAGGTAGTATTTGTGCTCACCTGACTGGAAATCCAGAGAAATGTAGAGGTAGGAAGGGTCACTGTGGATGAGAATTCATAGGAGTCCTTTAGAGAAGAGTGTAGATATTTTGTGGCCTTTTAATCCAGTTTTCCAGCTTTTTGAGGAAAAAAACCAAAAGGTGCTAAACATCAAAGAACGGGAGAAACTTTGTGAGAAAGAACATAAGTGGCAAAGGTCTGGAGTCTGGAGCTCTAAGGAGCAAGCGTTATGTGTAGTTGGGAAGATTGGTGACTTACACCACAATGGGATTCATGCTCAGGGATAAAGGAAGGTCATAGGTTTGATGCATAAGACAGAGCCATGTATGGAAGGACCAGTTATCAGATCTATGTGGTTTGGGATTTTAGGTTTCATTTTGGGCAAGTCTCTAGTGGCATAATCCCTAGAGAGTTGCACTGCACACCCAAAGGGAAATACCTCTGTGGCGGTTCAAATCCACCAGTAGGACCACGAAAGGAAGATGAACAGTCTCCTCCCATGTGATTTACAACTTCTGAAAACTTTCTGAAGTTCATCTATGAGTCAGTCCCAACTTCACAGCAATGAGTTGAGTTGCATTTCCTGAATCAGATGCTAGTGATACTGTTTTAATTTTAAGAGAAACTACACGTTCATCTCATTTTTTGTACTCCTTCACAAAGTGTTGAGGTTCTTATCAAAATCAGGAGCCCTGGTGGCACATTGGTTAAAGTACTTGACCACTTACCTCAAAATTCCTAGTTCAAGTCTTCCACTTTCCCTGCAGGAGAAAGATAAGACATTCTGCTCCCATAAAAATATACAGCCTTGGAAACACAGTGAGGAAGTTGTACTTTATAAGATGACTGTGAGTTGGAATTGACTCAGTAGCAGAGAGGTTTGGTATTTGGATCCAGACATTATTAAATATTATTTTTACCCTTTCCTCACAAAATCAGAAATTTTACATTTCATTTTAAACTTCTGGTCATCAGTGTTATCCTTTTAGCATCAGAAGTCAAAGAGAATACCCTTTAAAAAAACTAATGTAAATAAACAAAAACAAATAGTGTATTTTACTTTTGTTGCTGTTGAGAATGTATCCATCAGAGAATATACATCAATTCAACAATTTCTCTACGTACAAGTCAGTGACACTGATTACATTTTCTATTTAACCATCCATTCTTACCCTCATTTCCCAAATTGGTTCTTTCCTGTTAACATATGTTCATTGCCCCCTAAGCTTCCTGTTTAATCTTTTCAAGTTGCTGTTGTCAATTTGAGGCCATTTAGATAGAGCTTAAAAGAGCATAATACTTCAGGGAGACACCTTTCTCTGTTTAAGCAAAATTATTGCTAAATTTTGAGAAGTTGTTTTTTGTCATGACTCATAGTGTTCCTGTGAACAAAAGATCTAAACCCGGTTCTGTCCTGCGCCATCCTCACACTTCCTGACACCAGAGCCCATTGAGGCAGTCACCATGCCAATCCTCCTGGTCGAGGATCTTCCTCTCCTTCACCAGCCCTCCACCCTTGCCAGCATCATGTCCTTCTCCAAGGAATAACCCCTCCTAGTACCATACCCAAAGTTTGTTAGACGAAGCTTCATCATTCCTACCTCAAAAGAGCACTCTGGCTGCTCCCGCTCCAAGATCAATCTGTTTGTTCTTTTGGCCACCCATGGGATGTTCAGTGCTCTTCTCCAACAATACAGCTCAATTCTTCTTCTGTCATCCTTATTCATTGTCCAGCTCTCAGATGCATAGCAAGTGATCAGAAAGACTGGCCTGAATCAGATGCACCTTAGTCTTTGGGGTATTTTTCAGTTTAAAGATTATCTCAAGACAGTGGTTTCAGGAATTCATCAAACCCCTTTGGCTTTAAAAAAAAGTCTAGATTCCATGAAAATTTGAATTTCTGTTTCATATTTTCTCAATTTAAAAAAATCATTCTCTTATAGCATATTTGGTCAAAATGTTCAGTAAAATTTCATCTTCCAGTCTCATGGCAAAGGAGGCAGTTTTCATGGGGACAACTAGCCATACATTTCATTTCCTCTTCTTATTCCTGACAAGAATATATGCTCTTAGAGATTAAAAATGTATACTTTTTGACCTTTGAGGATTTTTTGTTTACTTTGTGCTTGTTTTACTTTTTAAAATGATTTTATTTTTGTTTGAGAGAAGACTTAGAAATTATTTTGAATTTTCATTCAGTCATTCATAGACTTTTTTATAACAGTAATTACCATTGATTGATTGGTTAAAATTTTGTTTGTTTTGATTTTTTGGAAACATTCAAAACAACTTGTGCTAGATTTTTAACATTTTTTTCCGTTTTCTCATCAGCACTGAAGCATCCTTCTTCAAACTCTCGCCTTTTTCACTTATCTGCTTTCTCCCAGTCTTTGGTAGCACACCTCCAACTCTTTGTGTCCTCTTTTCTCCTCCCTACTTACTTTCAGACACCCTCTTCCTTCTTCATGGCCTTGATTATCCTGTATACATAGCTGGATCACCATACTCTATTTCCACCCCAGTGGTCTTTGAACCTCAGGTGCTTCCCATGGTTTACAAGGGCTCTCCATGTCAAGCCCTTCCTTGTGTGTCTACCGTGAACTCCTCACAATTCTCATCAGTCTGTATCCAACTCCTTTTCTAAACCTCAAGCTGCTTGCTCTTCCTTCCTCCTGGAGCTTTCTTCCTATCTCCACACATGATTGTCTCTTTCTCATCATTTGAGTTTCTTAGTTGGATGTCACAGCCTCAGAAGCACCCTCAGTGACTCTCCCTGTAAAGGGTTTTCCATGAGGTCTTCTTCCTATCCATTCACTTTTTTATCAGAGGATTCTTTTTTTCTTTTTTTTTTTTTTGTGTAGAAGTGATCTTGTTCTGAAACCAGCTTGCTTTTGCCTCCTTTTTTTTTTCCCTATCACTTCACCCTCTGTGTCCTCAACATCTAGCATATGCTAAGCGCCTGGCAGACAGTAAGTACTGAAACTTTTTTCCCTTTCTGCCAGGAATGCCCTCCTCCCAGGTATCCTGTGGGCTGATGGCTAATTTCATTTCATTCAAATCCCTGCTTTAACAAGTACTTCCAT